TTTATATATATATATATATATAAAGAATGATTTGTAAAACCATGTAGAGTTCAATGTACTGTTTGCTCTAGTGCAGGGATGTCCAAACATTTTCATAGGTGGGCCAGAACTGTAGATGAAAGGACTCGCTGACCAGATAAAAAATCTGAATTTAAGAAAATTATTATTATTTTTTTTAACGTGATTTTTTTTCTTCTAATTTTTAACAACTTGAACAATAGTTTGGAGAAATGTTAAAAGTTTAGTTTAAATTTTCATAGATCCAGAACATTAGGAGCCTCATAAACATTAACCTTGTTTTTTAAGAATTTAATTTAGTAATTTTTGGGGTCTATTATTTGTGTTCTGAAAAACAGTTGTCAGTCACTAAAACAGATTCATGGAAGGTTTGAAGGGACACTAATAAAGTTGATCAACTTGTATGCGATGATACCCCTTTATATTCTATTAGAAATGTTCAATCGATTATTAAAACAACTGAAATTTTATTTGAAAACACTTGTTATATTTAGCCAAGTTTTATAAATTATTATCAGAAATTCTACTTTTTGGTTGGTCAGTGAAGGATAAGGATTAATTATAGATAAACTGTTGTATTGTATTTAATATTGAGATTATTTTCATCTTTTTGGCTGTTAAACCTAAAAATTATATTTAAAAAAGTATCAGCATTAAATCTAAATAAGATCTCCATCTGCACCAACCTCTGCGGGTCTAAATTATTCCAATCTTTAATTGTAGTCGAGGGCCGCACAAAATCACTCCAGGGGCCGCAAATGGCCCTCAAATGGTCCATACTTTGGACACCGCTGCTCTAGTTAATAATCTTTTAAAATGAAGGTTTGTTAGTATAAACTTTGACGCAACGGGTCATAATCAGTGTATGAGGGACTTGTTATGTACATTGTCCTGCTTATCACTAAAGATGCATGTAACATTGTTCAAATCTACAATTATCAGTTCCTGATCCTCCGACGGACTCACCTTTGCTGAGAATCTTTGTGAGGACACTGTGAAAACAACAAAAGACAAAGTGAACCTTAGAGCGTGGCTACACATCTACTGAGCGGATTAAACATTAGTCAGCAAGAGTAACAACAAAAATGCAGGTACAGACACGAAACAATCATCATTTAATTTATAAATAAATCTATAAAGGCATTTTTCTTGCCTTGAAAAATGATCTTAGTGCGGTCCAGAGGAGCGATGACTGTCTTGGCCACAGCTCCGGCAAACGCACCACACAGCAGGGACTCCGCGGCAGTCAGTCTGGGCCTCAGCTCCTGCTTTTCCAAGACATGTTCCCGCATGTTACTCAGTAACAATAACAACAATATTCACGCACTAGTTGTATTTTAAATGTGAGAATGCAAGAAATGTTCTATGTTGTTAATTTTAAACGCTCAGCAGTGAAAATGCTCCGTTTTTTTTAACAGTCTGTTTCAATATGCACATCGGTTCGGGACACAGAAACACAACCATGATAGTCACACCACCTCACACTTCAGCAGGCCTTCAGTGAGATAACTCAGCCTGATAAGCTATCGCACCGACTGATAAGAGTAGCACTGTGCATCAAAAACAAACCCGTTTAATATTGCCTTGTAGCTTAAAACCCGATACCCAGTCCTCTGTGCAATACTTTATATACACACAAATGCATTTGTTTAAAAGGCGAGGCCTGCTGGGGATTAACAAGCATCTGTGTTTACGGCTGTGTATCAGCAAAGTCATGCCCTTCGAGTGAATGTTTACCACCAGGCAGACTGAACTAAAACATGAACCAGGCAAACTGTGGCCTGGTTTATGTGTAATCGTTCCGCAATCATTGTCATGGTGACTAAGTGATTTATTTAAGTGCAATGTTCTTGCAAAGTCATGCAAGAAGAATTTTATATTTAATTTTAGAACCCAGTACCGTATTTTCCACTGTACACGTCGCACCGCCCTGTACATTGCATCAGTCCAAATATGTCTAAAAAAGTGGAAAAATCCATAAATATGTCGCTTTGCCTTGCCGTAGACGTCGCATCTATTATGCGTCACCGCTGACGTTTCGCGTTTGTTACGCGTCACTGCTGACAACCTGGAAATGTGCGCCGGTGTTGTGCCAAAAATCGATGGGCTGCCAAGTTGCAGCCACAGGAGCATGCACGGGAGGATTTTAACAAGAATTTAACAAGTTTAACACTTAAAAACAATTATTTGTTTGTTTAAAATTATAGTAAAGGTGTGTCTCAGTCTAAAGTTTGCTTAATAACTGCACTTTGACGGTCAAATCAGCTGCATTTCAAAAGTCAATACGCGGAAGTAACCACGTGCACACGAGTCGCTGAGCAATTTTAACAACATTAACACCTAAAAACAATTATTGGTTAAAGGTTTGTCTCAGTTAAATTATTCCTTAAAAAAAATGTACTTTAATGGTCAAATCAGCTGACTTTCAAAAATAGTTTTGATGCCTCGGTGCTCCGGGAGCGCACAGAGGGAGGAAAAAAGGAAGGAGGAAAGCTGTTTCTTCGAAATTTAACAAGAAAAGCACCTAAACAATTATTTGTTTGCTCGAAATTATAGCAAAGGTGTGTCTCAGTCTAACATTTGCTTAATAAATGCACTTTAACGGTCAAATTAGTTGCAATTCGCCGGGGTGGTGCAGCTGGTTTAACTTGCTCCGAGCAGAACGAAGGTGGGGCACTGAGGTAAGCCGACTGTGTCATTAATAGCTGGTGAATATTCTCAATCATCCAGGACATGGTGAATTCAAAAAAGTTAAAAGAAAAAAAGTATAAAGTATAAAAATAAAGCCCAGCTGTTTTTGTCTTAAAACTTTTTGAATTGGTCATTATAGCCACATTTACTTATTACATGATACAACGGAATGCCACAGAGTACTCTGCTGCCATCTAGTGGCTGAAAATGATACTCTTCAAATTTTATTTTTTTTATTTTGTCAGAATGAATGAAAACGGTCTATCTCAGCCAAAAATTGGTTTATAAATATGGGGGCGGGGGGGGGGGGGATCCATAAATATGTTGCTGAGCATAAAAAAATACGGTATTTAGAATGACAGCTGGCAGGAGATTTAGGTTATTCATGTTCTTCCCCCTCTGAACAGCCTCTTTTTTTAAATCCACGCCCAAACAGCACTAACTTGTTCAAGCTTGTTGCTACATGTCTGCACACCTCCATGTGTGTCAGAGTCATGCTCACCTTTGCTTGGCTGGACGCTGGCAGGGTCAGCACGGTGGTCTGGGCCACGGGCAGACGGCCCTGGTGGTCGTGCACACGGTGGGCCATGTGTGCCTCTCAGAGATCACCAAAGCAGCTGATCGCGTCACTCATCCAGGACGAAATCGCACTGCGGAAAATAAAAATAAATACGTGATCAGGGGGGGGGGGGGGGGGGGACACTCGCAGTTCCTCTCTAAGTGTCATAAACACGACGGGAGCGCGCGCACGTTCCTGCAACAACAGCCTGGCTTGTAAACAACAGCGCTGCATGAGTGCCCATCCACCACTTTGTCTGTAAACCACTCACATCACGGCTATCTGTTTTAAAACAGCTGCGACGAGACAATAAATTCAAAGCCACGCCTAAAAAAAAAGGTTTATATAAGTTGTGCAGAAATAAATAAATAAATACACGTGACAGAGACTCAAAGTGTGGTTCAATTAGTTTGTGTTAGCATAAAATGCTACATGACTTTACCTTCGCTGGCGTTTTAAAGGACTCCGTGTTTACAAACATTCACCGTGGACTCGGTCAGCAGTCTGTGCTTCTTCCTCACACACCTCCTGTCTGCACACAGGGCGCGCGTCCCTCTCTTATAACCTCGCCACACGCAGTGATGTAGTGTATTTCCACGTCTCCTTGCGTTGTTGACGTCCTTGGAGGTGTGTGGAGAAGATAAGTGTTGATAGATGTTTACAAGTCAATGTCCAACAGATAACACTCAGTTCGGACCCACCCCCAGCCTCTGCGCACAAGATCCTTCTGGATTCTCTCTCCAAACTTAGACAGCCACTGTTTTTGACTACAATACCCAGAAAGCTAGGGGCAGAATCTCACGAGAGTTTCTGCGCGATTGGGTTGCCATGTAAGTTTAACTCACTCATTGCCTTTTTTTATTTTTATTTTTAAAAGCTTTTCATTTATTTAAATCGGAATATTTGGACAATTATTGTTGTGTTTTGCATTGTAACCTTTTAGAAATGCAGTCCATTATGAGAATAAATACAAAAACTTTTAATAATTTTAATATTTCAGGAAAGAACTGGTGTTTTTGTTTGCAAGTATTTCTACTGACATGTTGATTATTCAACCTAGGTAATTATAATAATGCTTAAAAAACTTCTTTTTTTTGGTGGTGGGGGGGGGGGGGGGGTGTTGCCCCATTATTTTGAGCTTTTTTCTTTTTATTATCTGATTTAACAAGCAGTTTTCATAATTTAATGCGTTTGATTACAAACTTTTATTTGATTTTGTAAAATATATAAAAAGTAACACAAGAAAGATGTTTTGCAAACAAACAAACAAACAAAACTATTAACTCTATGTCAAAATTCATGCTCAGTAATCCAGGTAAAATATCCACCAAAGTTCAGTCAGGTCATCTGGACGGTTTCTTTTTTTTTTTTGGTTGAGACGTTTCATCCTTCATCCAAAGGACTTCATCAGTCCGAGGAGCCACAAACAAACTCAGTCCTACAAGCAGCACACTCATAGTGGACCAACCAGTTTGCTGGTGATACGATGGTTTCTGGGGCCCACCCTCTCCAACTTTGACTCCTCTGAGGCAGCCATAGCCAAGTGATTCAAAACATCAGTCCATGCTCAATAATCCAAACTATTACCTCTAATTCAATCAGGAACCAAGTTCACTATGAAAAAGTTGTAAAAATACTAAAAAGTACAGTCACAAACAGTAACAAAACTATAAGTTAAATGGAAAACTTTTTACAATGAAAAAGCACATCATGTAATTTAAAATAAACATGATTTATGGTTACTATGAATACATACTTCTTTCTAAGTATTTTTTAAATTCAAATAAAACTAGAACAACTGATGATGATGATGATTTTTTTTGCAGCTACTGGTTTTAATAAAAGCAATACAAGTGGTTTGTGTTTTCTTCACAATTACATTGAGTTAAATTATTATAATCAATTAAAACACGTATTTTAGCTCTTGATGTTTAATGTAAGAGAAGAAAAGTAAAGATGAGGAATAGACTAGGCTTGTCCTGTTGCCACCTGGCAACCCGCAGGTCCGCTCACAGCTCTGAAAAACTTGTTGTTGTCTGGGAAAATGGCGTCAAACGTAGAGGCCCCGGACCGCTGGTACCTCGCCCTCCTCGGCTTTGCGGAGCATTTCCGAACCTCCAGTCCGCCTAAAATACGACTTTGCGTACATTGTCTCCAGGCCGTGTTTCAGTTTAAGCCCCCGCAGAGGATCGAGGCTCGGACACATCTCCAGCTGGGCTCGGTTCTCTACCATCACACCAAGAACAGCGATCTGGCCCGCAGCCACCTGGAGAAAGCGGTGAGGGGCGCGTGTGTCTGGGAAAGAGCGGGGATGCTGCGGAGTAGGGAGACGGGTGTAGGCCGCAGGCGGTGAAAACAGCGAGCGGCGGAAATGTTTCTAATTGCTGTTGATTTAAGAATATTACATCTATAAAAAAGTTAACATGTCAGCTGTAGCGGTGTCTCATTTGGACATGTATGATATAATTTTGTTTCGTATCGACCTCACTTGTTCATTCGCTGGTGTTTGCTAAACAAACTGCTGTTCGAGGTGATTTTACTTTGAACGAGCTAAAGCTAACATGTTTTTGTCTTTTGTGCTACAGTGGTATATATCTCAACAACTTCCTCAATTTGAAGATGTCAAATTTGAAGCTGCCAGCATTTTGTCTGAACTTTTCTGCCAACAGGTAAATGTAGCATAGCTCTCACTGGTTTTGATCGCGCAGACAACTTCATGCATTATTTCATCAAAGGTTTATAGAACCCGGTGAAGATTGGATACTAGTTATTGATCTTTTTATGATTTTTCAGAATTTGGTGGACTCTGCTAAACCCTTGCTGCGTAAAGCCATCCAGATTTCCCAACAAACACCATACTGGCACTGCAGACTGCTCTTCCAGTTGGCGGTATGTGATTAAACCCTGCAGCTTTTACTTGTTTCAACTGGATGTATACAGCAAAAAAAAAAAAAAATCCTGGCAATTAGTCTGAATGTTGTTAGCTGACAAATGACCTTAGTTTATATTTACTGTTTGCTCTGTTTGTTTTCACATCGCAAAAGAGCACGAAGTGATAGTTGAAAATTAATTTTTCAGCAACTTCATACACTGGAGAAGGACTTGGTGTCAGCTTGTGACCTTCTGGGTGTTGGAGCGGAGTATGCTCGAGTGGTGGGTTCAGAATATACCAGGTACATATCTCTTTCTTTGTCATTAAAGTTAAGTTTCTGTTTTTGTTTCTACTGGATATCTTTTTTTTTTCAATAATTTCAGGTGCAAAAGTCAAAGTGTTAATTGACCCCATTGAAGTAAAAGTTATTAATGTGTCTAAATCTGATTATGTCAGGCTGGTTTTAAACGTTCATCTAAGATTTTATGTCTGTGAAACTAGCCGTTATGTTTATCTGTTGCTGTGTGTACCTCACTGTCTTCAGACGTATAATGCAAAAACATATAAAATATAAGTAGAAATACTTGATTACAAATCATCCTTGAGGCGTACATAGCTGATTTGTTGTGGTGTACTTCTTGATGGACACCAGGTTTCACAGAGACTGTTATTACTGTCCGATATCTTGTTAAAGCTATGTTATGTGCAATGGAAGGAGGAGGAAAATAACTAAACGCTAAAATGTGAAGGACAAGAGTAAGTCAAATATATTCAGTTGTAAGATGAAAATCTTCGTACTGCAAATGCACAACGTCGGCAACTTTGAAGCGAAGTCCCTGCAGAAACGCTCTGCCTTTATAGTGAGACCTGACATATTATGCACAAACTGGAGTTAAGAGCAAGAACATCGGTCTACATGAGATGTAATAATCCCATTGTAGCTATGGACTTGCAGCTTGCTTTAAAATATAAATTTAGTCTGTTTTATTGACACTAATAATTTAAGGAAAAGGATTTGCAAATTGTTGGACTCGAGCACATCCAAAAGGACTTCTAATTAGGGATGGGGCCAATCTAGTATCAGTATCGGCCTCCGATTCCAGCATAATTTACTTATCGGATTTTTCCGATCCAACCTGCAGAGATGTCCGATCCATGATGCATGATGTCTGTCTCCAAGTAAAACGTCTCCATGTAATTCCCTGCCAGCTGCTCTGCACGTTGGCTTCAAACTATAGAATGGATTTCCTGAACGGAGGCGTGTCTCATGAACCCAGAGTAATAAGACCCGCCTCACATTCAGGAAATCCATTTCATAGTTTGCAGCCAGCTACAACGTGCAAGTAGCACTGTGGCTAACTTCAAAAAACATTCAATACAAAAACAACTGGACTTTATTTGTAACAGAAGACGTTTCGCTCCTCGTTCTAGGAGCTTTCTCAATTCAAAGAGCAGAGAGTGAGGGCTTCAGGTTATGAGGCTGAGTGAGATAAAACACACATAAATATGTAGATTTGACAAGTCACACCTCAACAGTAGGGGTTTCTTAAGGTTTTTGTTACTCTTAATTCACAGATGAGGCCCCTCTGTTCCCATCAGGTGTGAAAACTGGCTGGGAATCAGTCTTAAAGCTGCATTATACATTTTTGAAAGTGGAAATCTGAGGCCTCCTCCTCCGCAGTTGAGACAGTTTTTCTCTTTTTACATAAATTGCTTCCTTCACTTCCCTTCCTTCAAACCATTTGTGTTCTAAGTCCAAAATATGCACATTTTGGTCCTCAAATGAGTGTCCCTTATCTGTTAGGTGGAGGTGAACAGCTGAGTCTTGTCTTGAGGAGGTGGCTCTCCTGTGTTGAGCCATGCGTCTGTGAAGAGGCTGTTTAGTTTCTCCATTGTAGAGGTCTGGACAGTCCTCGCTGCACTGGACCACATACACTACACCACTCTGTGTATGGGTGTTTTGTCCTTAGGGTGGACCAGCCTCTGTCTGAGAGTCCTGCTGGGTTTGAAATGTACTGGGATGTTGTGTTTGTTGAAAATCCTTCTGAATTTCTCTGATACTCCAGCAACATAAGGGATGACAATGTTTTATCTTCTGTTGTTCTCCTTTTTCTGTTTAGAATTGTTTTGTAGATTTCCTCTCTGACTTGACAAAATCCCAGTTAGGATCATGTTTGGAGAGCTTCTTTGATGTTTTTCTGTTCCTTTTCCTTCCCTTCTGTCTTTGTGGGGATGTGTTTGGTCCAATGCTGTAAAGTTCTGATGACAGAGAGTTTGTGTTTCGGTGGATGGTGAGAGTCAAACAGAAGATACTGGTTTGTGTGGGTTGTGATGTAAAATAAAATCTGTTTCTGCTTGTACAATTTCTAAAGCTTAAAGTGTGACTAGTATACTTCCTGTTTCTTATTTGTGACAGCACCCACCCAACCGGACTTTGCACAATACATGTTGAGCAAGTGAATATTCTAGAAGCTAGAGTGAGTCACTGCCCTAT